CTTTGGTGGGAACACGTCTATCCTGAGCCCTCTGCTCCAAGTACCTGACATCGACAGTGATGGTGCCCCAGACCTGCTGATCCTCACCCAAGAGGGAAAGGAGGTGCAGACCAGCGCAGCTCTCCTCCCACATCTCCCAGGCCACTTGCCAGTAGCCTCTCCTCTCCTCCTTGTTCACGTCCACTGCCCAGAGAAAATTTAGGTCTGAGACCATGTTCCTGACGCCCACAGTCCAGTGTGCTGAGGTGGCCCCATCTCTGTAGGAGCTTGTGTGCCTTCCCCAAGAATCACAGAGTTCCCTTCTCACTTGTGCTGCTGCTGTGTTGGGTGAGGCTACAGGCCCAGGGCTGCCCTGCATCTCTAGGCAGGCTGTGCCATGCAGAGGCACAGATCGTCTATCACAGCACTCTTCCCAAAGCAAGAGAACTTTGCCTTCTTTGGCTTCACCCTAAAAAACCCTCCTTCCTATGGGCCAGCTTTCCTTCTTCCCTATTGTTCTTCCTCATTGTAGGTCAGCGGGTCCATCTATTCAGGCAGCACTGGGCACCAGATTGGCCACAGAGGCAGCCTCAGTATGGATGGAGACAGCAGCCCCCTTCTTCATGTCACCAGGATGGGTGCACACTACATTCTCCTGCCCTGTGGTATGCTCTCCCACCACCTTCCCATGGCGGGCTTCCCTCTCATGGTGGCACTGGGTTAAAAAGGTAAGCTCAAGCCAGGTGTGGTGGTGCACACCTTAATCCCAGCATTCTGGGAGGCTGAGCCAGGAGGATTCTAAGTTCAAGCCCAACCTGGGCAATTTAGCATTTTAACAAGACCCGATCTCAAAATAGCCTGGGTAGTAGCTCAGTATGAAGGTCCTAAGTTCAGTACCCAGTACCACCACAAAAAAGAAAGTGAGCTTAGCACCAATGGAAAAAGCAGTGTGTGCAGCAACCACCTATGAGGTGCCTCAGCTCCTGCCTGTATTTTAGAAGTACCAGTTACTCACTGACAGTCAGACCCCAAGCACCTGCACTACGTGCTGTTGGAAGTGGGGCTGGTGGGTACACCTGGACCCAGAGCACAGCGTGACTCTGGTGACTGTGGGCTCTTCCTTGTTTTGAATAGCAAGCTCCCTCTGCGGCTGCTCTTTGAAGGATCTCTATGAGAAGGTGACCAGGAGAGACGCCCCATTTAAGAGTGACCCCCACTGGGAGAACATACTCAATGCCTCCACCCACAGGCTCCTGCCCAGGTTAGTCTGAGACACAGGGATCTTTCCCACAGATCACAGTCTGTGCAGCACAGGACAGCCAGGCAGGCCGAGGAACACTGGGGCCTTGCTGGACTCCAAGGCCATCCTACAGTCAAATATGAGAAATGGGCAAACACTGAGCAAAACTGAGGAGAAAGGCTCCTGTTGGAGCTTATCCCCATAGACAGCCAGGTCCTGTTTATATTTTCCGGCTGGCCCACTGAGAAATACAGGGCTCAGCCCCCAACTAGATGGGTTTCCTGGATGCAAGACCCATCCCAAAGATCCTGTGCTCTTCCCTCCCACTCCCCTGTCTAGCTCTGGAGCAGTTCGATACCTGATGAATGTCCCAGGGAAGGCCGGCCAGGATGTGCTCCTCGTTAGTTCAGAAGCCTGTGTGCTACTGGATGGACAGGAGCTGACTCCCAGGTGGACCCTTGGCGCAGCGCAGGTCCTGAGGTATGGGGCTTTTGTCCCAGAGCCATGCAGTTGCTGCAGACTTTGCATGGATGCACCTGTTCCCCTGCCCAACCTCCCAGCAGATCCCACTGGCTGGTGAAGAAGATGAGGCGGCGCTGGGCTGGAGGGGTGTGAGATTCTGCTGGAGTCTTCTCACCTGTCCTGGGTGTTGCCTCCACCCATAAAGGCCCAGGGAAACCGCTAGTTATGGATATCAGCTCCTGGTCTTGGGGTGGCCACTGAGGACTGAGTGGTATCCCTGTCACCAGGTATTTCCTTCATTTTAGTCATTTTACAGAGATCCCTGTGAGCTCTTTTCCTTGATCTCTTTCTAGAAAACCTATCCTTGGCCACTATAAACCAGACACCCCAGCTGTGGTCATTGAAAACGGAACTGGCATTGATAGACAGGTAGGCAGTTTCCTCTGGAGGTGCCCCCTTGCCTGTAGCTGAGGACCAGCTGTGAAAGCAGATATGGTGTGGCCCTGAGGCTGCTGCCCTCAGAACTGGCAATAGCTTCTGGCTTTCCATAGTGATGGTGTGCTGGGGTGTGTACCTGTGCAGGCCCTGAGGTCCTGATAACCACAGTGTCCCTTCCCTCTCCAGATCCTGCTTCTGGACCTCCACAGTGGGGCCATCCTGTGGAGCCAGACCCTCCCGAGCTTCCCCGGGGGCCCGCCATCCACCAGCCTGCCAACTGCAGACCACCGCTCAGCCTTCTTCTTCTGGGGCCTTCATGAATTGATTGGCACCAGAGGGATGGTATGGGGCACTCAGGGAACACCCCTGTGCCAGGAGCCGTGGCCAGAGAGGCCAGGCTTGGGTCCTCAGAAGCTTTTGATGGCTGGGCCACCACAGATCCATTGAAGCTGAGTGAGAGCTGGTCCCAGTAGTGACACTGAGGGGAAAGTATCCTGGGGAGGTCCCCTTGGGGATGCATGAAAGGGATCCAGGAGCATTGGTGGACAGCAGTGAGGGGGCAATGCTGATGGACACTGAGAAGGACCAGGACTAGGTTGGGGAAGGAGGGGCTGGAAGTTTGTGAGACCCCAGGTGGGATCTGTGGGCACAGAGCTCTAGGCATGGTTGTTCTAACAGCAGTGCCCATGGGTTGACCCAAGCATTGCCAGGGATGATGCGAGAGTCGCAGGCTGAGTGGCATATGGCTGCAGCCCTGGCATAGCAGAGCACAAAACTCATTGCTGGTTCTTGCCCCAGGATCCCGAGGGTGCCCAGCACAGTCTGTACATGTTCCACCCTACCCTGCCCAGCGTCCTGCTGGAGCTGGCCAACATCTCCGCCAACATCGTGGCCTTTGATGGTAAGTACAGTTGGGCCTGATCTCCCTGACCCCAGGTCCGCTGTGACTGGTCCTGAGAGACGCTGATGGTATGTCCCCCACAGTGGTCCTGTTTGAGCCGAGCCGCCATGCTGCCTACGTCCTCCTGACAGGCCCAACAAGCTCGGACATGCCTGGCCTGGTCTCTGTGGTCAAGCACAAGGTGCGGGATCTTGTCCCAGACAGCAGAGTGGTCCACCTGGGTGAAGGCAGGCCAGACAGTGACCAGGCCATCAGAGATAGGTTCTCCTGGCTGCGGTATCGGAGTGAAGTGTAGGCGGTGCCAGTGGGAGCCCATGGAGAGATGCCAGCTGTAGAAATGAAACCTTCTGGGACATCCACCCTTCCCTCTGCCTCCACACTGAGCCTTGTGGCAGTCTCCCCTGGGGAGCCATGGCTTTGTATGTCATACCCAGGGACTTGTGTGGGGAAGCCCTGGACACCACGGCCATCACACGGTCACATCCTGGGCCCCATGGGGTTATGTGCGGGCTAGGCTACCTCCCTGTGTCTTGCTGGGCAGAGCTCAGGCCTGTAGCTCCTCCCCCTCACTAGGAGCCCCTGCCACACCACCTTCCCTCCCACCGGAAAAGCCACTGTTATGGGACGTGCTGCTCCCCAGGGTCATCACATGTGTCCCTCTTCTTCCTGCCTGGTTCTGCCCTCTGCACCATCCCCGAGGAATCATGAACTCAGAGGGTGGTGAGCTCTGGGGGTACCTGAGGCCTCACAGCCTCAAGCCCTTCCCAGAACAGAGGGAATATCTCCCATGCTGGTTGAGGAACAGGGCTTGGGTGTGGGGTCTCCCTGACCAGTGGGAAGAGCCGGCGCTAGAGCTCACAGGTGCCCTCACTACACACTGGATCTGCTGACTCTAAGGAGGGCTCTGTGGCCCTGGCATGGTGAGCACCCCGCCCCTACCCTGGTGCTGCTTACTGATGCAGGAGGACTCACCTCTGTGCCTTCTTGCTCCTGAGGCCCAGGGGCAGCTGCACCCCATGTGCAGCAGCCCTTCGCAGCCCAGAGCCCAACCTTTGTAGCAAAGCAGCCTGACTCTGTCACCACAGAAAATACCAGAATAAACATTTTTACACTGTCTGGAAAAGCCCCAAGTGCAAGCCTGCTTGCTGTCTGCCTGCCTGTCTCTCTGCCTCCATGGAACAAAGTACTACAGTAGTGACCAGGAATTTTCGGGCTAGGCTTCCAGCTGAGGGTGATGGAAGTGAAAAGGTGAGTGCCCCACTCATACCTGCCCATAGACACAGCACCCAGCAGTCTCCTCACAGCCTCCAGGCAGGTCTCCACTGTGAGGAGCCCTGCGGCTCAGGCCAGGCACTCAGACCCTTAGAGTGAGTCTCCCGTCTGGTGGCTCCTGGGGACAGGAAGCCTGTTTTACAAGAGTTGAGAGGCCAGGCAGAGGTTTCCCTTCTTCCAACAGTGGCCTTCGGCCCCTAGACTTGTCCATAAATACCTACGTACCCATGACCACTTGGTCCTGGGGACTGCCAGGCTAGGGGCTTAACAGAACCAGGCAATGCCAAATAGTGCCAGGAGCCCCTTGGCAACCCCAGGCCTCCTTGGCAGTGCCCTTGCTCTTTGCTGGCCTCCTACACCCTGTTCACCTTGGCCTGCCTGAATGGACAGTGCTGCTGCCTGCTGACTGGGCTCCCCAAGGCTGCAGACGAAGTCCAGCCTGAAGCTCCAGAGCCTGGATCCCTGCAGCTCAGCCGCACGCCTGGGCCCTCCACAGAGGCTGCCTTTCATACCTGAACTGTGCCTGTTGACCTTCCCTCCCAGCCACTTCAGTCACACACATGCTCACACCACACATGTACACCCACATCATGCACATATACTACCTGTATAGGTCACAAGCAGTTGCACCACATACCCAGGCATGAACTACACATGCTCATGAACACATAGGTCCCGAGCTGGACCCGCAGCAGAATGGGCTCAGAGTGAGGGACAAGGGTCTTTTATTTCTGTGCCAGAAGCAGCCCTGTGTTGAGATAGACCCCAAAAGAAGCTGGCCTGTAACTTCATCTAGTCTGGAGGAATGGGGGACACACAGTGGGGAATGCCAGTGGGTGAGAGGACTGGACTCTGACTCTGCCAGCCTTCCGGCAAAGACTTCCCTGCAGGGACCAGGAGCCTCGTGGTCAGGGCAACAAGGTGCAGCTGTCCGTGAACGAATCCAGTGGGGAAGCTGCAGCTCAGGTCAGTGCTGGACGGGTATGTGGGATGCATAGTGAGGGAGACTCCTGGGCATAGGCTGCCAGTGAGTGTGCAGCCGCTCCAAATGCTTCAGCAGGGCCAGGGCCCCAGAGCCCCGGTGGAGCTCTCCTAGACAGGGCAGGCTGCCCAGAGACCTGCATATCTGTGTCCTGCCAGTAACAGATCCTGCCTGGCCACACTCGGCCAATGAAATCCGCTTCCTGGGACTTCCTGGCTCAGCCTCCCCTCCAGGCAGGGGCAGCCTCATTGGAGGGAAAAGGAGAAGCAGAGAGAGGCTGGACTCTGCACGCACTAGGACGCCAATACTGGGAGCTCAGCAGCCATCAGGAGAGGGTGACCCCGCAGTCGCACGGGGCCCAGGCATGATGAGAGGAGTCCATCTAGCCCTCCCCACCCCCACCTGCAGCGCTGCTGGGGGCTGGAGGTTCCCCAGAGGTGGGGAGAAGAGCGGGGCTGGGGCTTGAGTGCCGACGCTTCCACATAAACGGGAACACTCTGTGGGCAAGAAGGGGCTGAAGCAAGTGGCTGGAGGGCCCTGTCCCCTCCCTGCAGAACCCACTGCTTCACAGGCACAGGGCACTGCCCAGGCTCACCGTCTCTTTGTCTCCAGTGGGATCACAGCCTCCACCAGCAGGCCCTTATACATGTCAGACTTCAGGAACCTAGGGTAGGAGTCCTGCAAGAGACAGTGTCCAACCCATGGCCCCTTCCACCTCCTCACCCCTCAGCCAGGCCCATCTGAGCACTGCTGGGAGCTCCTGCCCACAAGGGTCCCCGGCAGAAGGGCGCTGGCAGCAGCCAGACCAAGTTAGACATAACCCAGGAACTGTTTGCATCAGTGGGGCCATAGCCAGCCAGAGGGGGGCAGGACACACAATGCTCACACATGGAGTACAAACTAGGATCCCCAAAGCAGGGGCAACAAGGGAGCCAAGACACCTGGGTGCCTCTACAGAGGGAGAGCAAGGATGCATAGCCACACAGACAGCAAGGTGGCGAGAAACTGCACGTTGCTAAGGGTAAGGAATCTGCAGCCATCATTGCTCATGTCTTAAAAGAAGAGTAGCCGGGCGTGGTGGCGCATGCCTGTAATCCCAGCACTTGGGAGGCTGAGGCAGGAGGATCGTTGCAAGTTTGAGACCAGCCTGGGCTACAAAATAAGCTCAAGGCCAACCTGAACTGCATAGTGAAAGCCTGCCTCAAAAAGAGAAAAAAAAATTTAAAAATAAGAATAAAAACCAGGCTGGACGTGGTGGTGCACGCCTGTAATCCCAGCACTTGGGAGGCTGAGGCAGGAGGATTGTTGTGAGTTCAAGACCAGCCTGGGTTACAAAGTGAGCTCAAGGTCAGCCTGAACTGCATGGTGAGACCCTGTCTCACAAAGACAAAAAATAAAAACAAATAAAAACCAGGCATGGTGGTGCATGCCTGTGAGTTCAATGCCAGCCTGCACTACATAGCAAGACTGTCTCAGAAACAACAACAACCAAAAAAATGAACTACAAAAGAATAGAAATAAAGTATTTCACCAGTGTCAGAAAGAAAGAAAAGAAAAAAAAAAAAACACTTAATTGTTAAGTTAGTGAAAAGGGGAATACAGTGGAAGAGCTGGGATAGAAGCTAGATTTATTTACATGTGTCTTGTTCTATATATTACATTTGGAAACTGTGTAGATAGTTTACATTTAAATAAGTAATTCCCAGACATTGAAAGGAAAGGGAAATAAGACTGTGTGTGTCCAGGTGGTGGCGTCACCCTAACCACACCTCAGCTCTCAAGGGAAAGTCTCCGGTTGGATATATACAAGGAGTCAAAAAAAGAAAAGCGGGGCATGGTAGTGCATGTCTGTAACCCCAGCACTCAGGAGGCTGAGGCAGGAGGATCGCTGTGATTTTGAGGCCAGCCTGGGCTACAGATAAGTTCAAGGCCAGCCTGAGCTGCACAGCAAAACCCTGTCTTAAAAAGACTAAAAAGTAACAATAGAAGGTGGACACAGTGGCCTGGGCCTATAACTACTGCTACCTGGGAAGTTGAAGTAGGAGGATCACTTGAGCCCAGGAGTTCATGGCCAGCCTGGACAATACAGCAAGACTCATCTCAAAGAAAAA